TCCCAGCCCTGTTATTTGAACACTTGATGCAACTTTCATGATCAATCCCCCTAGTTAGTCTAAGGGCTAAAATAAGGTAAGGAAACAGATTTCAGTCTCATGATGTGGACAGATAAAAAAACAAGATGAGATTTTTGTAAAAACAGCCATGACTGTCCTAATTTTGGATCTGAAAAAGGAAAAAGAAGGGGTCTATATGCAATAGTTATGAAAAGCATTTTCAAGCATTTCCAAGGGATTCAACTTACTTACAAAAGGAGGAGCATTGGGTATAAAATAAAAGGTATGGCTCTGTCTTTTCCCTTCTGCCTGGCAATCTTTACTATCCTATACCAAACTTTGATTGGACCTGTCATCCCCCCACACCAGAACTTGCTCATTTCACATGTAGGTGAAACTTCTAAAATAAATATCCAACACACTCAGTGAGCAGCCTTCAAAACCATTTCAAAAGCTACCTGTATTTCTTGTAAATATTATATAACACTAGGGTAAGTAATTATGGAGATTGGAAAGCTTTTTGCATAGCAATGATAGAAAGGTGCTGTTTTATGATCTATGTGAAAACAGTATCTGGAACAAAAATACTGTCAAGATCAGACACAGACCAAAAGCTTTCCCAAGGCTTTTTATTAATGTAATCAAGGCAGTGAGACTATAGTTGGTAGCACTAGTTTGCATTTTTGGCCCACCTGTATTAATCCTAAGCAGACACAACATCTACCCAGTTGCTATTTTTCCATGTGTGACAATGCTTTCTCACTTTTGACTATGGTGGCATTGGGAACTGGTTGTGTTGTACTGATTGTAGGAAACACACATACGGTCTCAATAACCTGAAATCCCTTTTCTAATGTAATTGGGAACTTGATCTTAGCTACCAGGTCTCAAACATTCAACTGCAAAATATAAGGATAGGTTCTGGCCTGTAGGCTTCCTGCAGCAATAGTACATATCAATAGTCTCACCAGCTGACTTCCCAGGCTTATCTTCTGCAGTATATGCAAGGTGCATTCATTTAATCCATAACAACTAATCTTAATCACAAACCGAATCTCTGAAAATATTGATGAATCTGTTCAGCTTCATGAACACACTCAAAGATACTAATTTACTAAATTATGCACTATTCTTACTATACTTAACAGATGTCATCAAGATAAATACACCAAATACTTCCCCTCCCAAACACAAGGCTGAGAAGCACTGGCAAGCACAGTAATACCTTCTTTGTATAGAATCTCCTTTCTCTTCGCCAAGGATTTCAATTTATATTCCCCAAGACAGACATGCTTTAGGGTTGTTAGTTGTAGCCATGTTGGTCTAAGGACATAGGCAAACAAGGCTCTTTGGGCAGATGTGACATCTTTTATTAGAACAACTAAATAGTTGGAAAAATTGTTCTTTATCACCTTCTTCTCCCCTCCCCACCAATTGTCTCCCATTCCCTTTGAACCTTACTGTCACACATTTGCATTTTCAGACCTACATTTTGCACTTTGGCTTCTATTCTATCCAGGAAAGCACGCAAACACCAACAGACTTTCCCTATGCCTGAAGAAAGGTGTTTGTGCCCAAAAGCTTGCAAAGAACAAATTTTCCAACTATTTAGTTGGTCTAATAAAAGATATCACATCTACCCAAAGAACCTTGTCTGCCCAAGACAGACATATTTATAAAAAACTCTTCAAAACCAATGCCTACAAATGAGCTCCATTATTCCAGGGCTGATCTCTTAGCCCTTTTGCAATCTGATTTATCTACCTAAACAGACCCATATGATACGAGACAAGCTAATACTTACTGTACTCTGTGCAGCTGTGTCTATTTTCAGACAAAGATGAAACAAGTATTACCCCATGTCATGATTATTATTGATGTGTGCATTTCATTTATTTATGGTACCTTGCCGGGTCTCTAGAAATATTTTCATATTAGGATGAATATTTATTGGCTTAAGAAGGAACTGAGCCCAGTTACCAACAAAGAATCATTCACATGCCCTAGTGAAAAAAAATATATAAACAAGTAGTTCGCATAAAACTGACACTTAGTTTGAAAACATGCACTAATGAGGCTGAGGACATCACCTCCTCCACCTTTCGCTGCGGTGAGGCATAGCCAAATTATTCAATACTCACTGAATAACAGCCAGTCATTAACTGCTACAGATAGGTACCCTTTTGTTGAGCTCTAGCAAAAGCCAAGCAAATGAAAAAGCTTTTTGGGAGGAGGGTCACTCTCCAAACATTTTGAACAGCTGGTCTCAAGAGGTGGAAGCATGGGGTGCTCACACTGAGGCTGAGGGCATGTACATAAAAACGTAAGAAATGCCATACTATGTCAGACCAACAGTCCACCTAGCCCTGCACCCTGTCTCTGACTGATCCCTGGTAACTGCAGGGGCCGTCTTCCTGTCTCTTGTTCACTCAAATCTTCAGGCAGTTTCACTGGGCAGCATCCATTGGCTCCTTCAACTCATTCAAGAACCAGTGGGTACTGTCTGGTGTGCTCCACTCATTGCCCCCCACCCTGTTTGGTGCATTCATTCTGAACCTATGACCCTCACTCCCATTGCTTTCTTGATTATGCTGTCCCAAGCAATCAATGATATGCCCTTAGTGGCCCCCATCAACAAGGGGGGGCTTATATCTCTACTTGGTGGGCTTTGGCCCATGCCACAGTATGGCATATCAAAAGGCCTGTCTCCAACAGACCTCCAGTGACTGCAGGGCTGTCTTCCTGTCCCCTGTCCACTTGCATCTCCAGGCAGTGTTTCACTGGGCAGTGTCCACTGGCTCCCTGGACTCTTTGAGGGCCAGTGGGCACTGTCCAACGTGCTCTTCTCAGTGTACCACCCTTGGAGCACTCATTTTAAATCTGTGACCTCACTCCCATGCCTATTTTGTCTTTTATTTGTCCCCCAAACTCCACTGATGCATATGCAACAGCTCCCCCTAATAACAAGGGGACTAACTGTTGCTCTGTGTGCATAAAGCCCAAGTTCCTCTTATGCATCAAATAGGCCTGTCTCCAACACCCCCCGAATGACTGCAGGGCCATCTTCCTGTCCCTTGCAGTTTTGCTGGGCAGTGCCCACTGGCTCCCTGGATATGACTGCGGGCCAGCGGCCACTGGCTGATGTACTCTGCTGGGTGTATTGCCCCCCTCCCTCCCAGTGATGAACTCATTCTGAACCTTTAACCATCACTCCCTATCCCTGTTTTGCCTTCTTTTTGCCCCAAGAAATCAGTTGTCACCTCCTCGTTGGCCTCCTTTTCTAAGGGAAGCTCACAGATCTTGGTGGGCAATGGCCCACAGTCCTCTGAAAGTAACAAACAGGCCCATCTCCAGCTGACCCCCGGTGAGTGCAAGGCTGCCTTCCTGTCCCTTATTCAATCACTCTCTGAGCACAGTTTCACTAAGCAGCATCCGCTGGCTCCTTGGACGTGGTCCCTTAATCACAATAGTAATGAGCTACTACACAGGTCCCTTATTAAGGTCCCTTATTAAGGGCAGCTTGTGGTTTTACTTGTGGGCACCTGCCCACATTCCCCTATCAGGGCTCATAGTGCAGATGATATCTTTTATTAAACCAACAAGATTTTTACAAAAAGTTTTCTTTAATTGCAAACTTTTGGGGACAAACTCCCTTCATCAGGCATTGGAAAAAAGAAAATAAAAGTCCTCCTGGGAAGAAATGAAAGCTCATATTTCATAGGATTTCACAGAGGAATCAATAGACGGTAAACTCCCTTGGGCAGGCAGTTCAAAAGGCCAGTCTCTAGCAGACCCCCTATGACTGTGGGGCCATTTTCCTCCCTTCTTTCCTTACTCTTGTCCCTGTTATTATCATAAGATCACAAAATCATAGAAAAAGATGGCTGGGAGGGACCTCAGGGGATCACATTGAGTCCAAACCCCTGCTCAAAGCAGGGCCAACCCCACCTACATCACCCCACCCAAAGCTTTGTCTAGACCAGTCTTAAAAGCCTCCAAGGATGGAGACTTCACCACCTCACTGGGTAGCCTCTTCCGGTGCTTCTCCACCCTCCTAGCTCGCTTTGCTTCATGGGTTTACATTCACTAAATACATAAATACATAAACAAACAAACAAACCACCCTCCCAGTGAGAAAGCTTTTCCTAATATCCAACCTAAACTTCCCTCTGCAGCAACCTGAGCCCATTGCTCCTGGCTGTCACCTGCCACCACTGAGGACAGTCCAGCTCCATCCTCTTTGCAACAGGACAAGGCTGCGATTAAATCCCCACCCCCACCCCTTTTTTTTCAGGCTTGTCTCTCCTCCACAAACAAGGCCGGTCCCCCCCCGCCGCCCACGCCCCGGCCCCGCGGCCG